GATGTAGGCGTTCAGACTCCGCCCTTCATGAAGCTGCTTGGTGAATTCCAGAACTTTCTTCTTGTTGGTGTAGAATTGGGCTTCGAAAGTGTATCGCTCATATTTAAGTTGTATCCAATCCTTTTGTAAGTCTTCGAGAGAGGTGGGCATGTTAGGATGAAGGACAGTGTATGGGGCATCTCCTTCAAAAACAGGCTCTATGATAACTGGGAGAATGGAGGGGTAAGGCATTGCGAGACTCTGAGCGCGAGCCCGTACCCACCTAAGGTAAGGCTCAAGGGGAATGGAATTCTTGTGCCCCAATGTCCTATTGTCCACCTTGCTTACCTTCCTCCAGGCTCGTATAAACCTCCAATGGTAATCTTGATTGTCACTTTCATAGCCGAACACTACACCTTAGATGAGCGCGTCATGTGGACCATCTCTTCGTGCGTACCCAAACTGTTGCAGAGCTAAGCAAGGGTTATAAGTGATGCCTCCCCTAATGCCAAGAAGAGGAACATTAGGGAATTCCCCACAACGATCGATGATAGTAATGTCCTCCAAAGATCGAGAACACCAGTAGATATCTGAATGCCTGAGTGACATCAGCCTGTTGGACCACCTCAAACCTTGCTCATTCTTCACAATGGATCGGAGAAGATGCGAAACAAACCATTTATCCAACAGAGGAGTACAACACATAAGGGTTCCTCTTCTCCTTATGGTGCGAGTGTGGAGATAATGCAGGACATCTCCCAACAAAGTAGGCAATGGATCGTGAGATAAAAGATTTTGACAGCATTCACATCTATAAGTTGGTCAGGATTTGGAAATAGTACCAACCCATAGATGAGAAGAGCCAAAGTTTCTTAGAAAGCTTGTAAATGCAGGTTGTTCCAACAGTCTTGAGCTTTTTCCAATAAGAACTTGCCTAAGAACCCTTTGACACCACTTCTTGTTTCCCAATTAGCCATGACGTAAGATTGTTGCAAGTCTAAAGCTCGGGCAACCTCTTCAGGGCTTGGGTCTCTTTCTCTACAATTTAAAGGTAGTTGATCGAGGATAGGAATTCCCAAGAGCTGAGAGAACTCCTCCATAGTTGGTACAAGCTGGTAATCAGGGAAGGTAAAGCAATGGTGCAACGAGTCAACGAACTGGAAAAGCACTTTCATCATGTCTTCATCAAAGCTCGAGGTAACCAAGTTGAGAAGTCATCCATGTCTTTTGGTGAACGGAGAATTCTCAGGGACCCTCGACGCTAAATCCTTGAGCTGAAAAGGTACTCGTACAAGGTTTACTTGGATTTTGTTCCTGCGAGTGGGAGTCATATCCTACAAAACGGAACAAAGATGAATCTCAAAATCTTTGAAATGGTTAGTCTAAAAATGCTATGGTATGATGTCATGATGTTATGTACAAGCATATGCACAAGTTAAATCAAACAAATCCTTAAGCTTAGGCTTGCATGGAGTTTCATAGGTAAGTACCCTCTTGAAGTTTAGTTGGCTCAACCTGTCCTAGTTAATAGTAATCGGATTCTAAGGGGTCTCAATATCACTGATTTGTCTTCTCGGGCTTTGTTTCAGTGCAAGCCTCTTTCACGGCGACTGAAATATCCCAAAAAAGCCAAACCTCAATGAGTGTAGACCATGTCGGTATACCCCGCACAGTTTCCACAACGTATTGCTACTTACCTATAAGATATCCCAAATCGGGGTAAAGGATTTAAGCCCAAACAAAGAACCAAAATATAAAGCATACAAGTCAAACAATGAAAGCGAGTAAAGTTGATCTAGCCTTAAGGTAACCCCATTTTCAATATTCCCCAACAGAGTCTCCAGTTCTGTAACACGGTGGGAGAACTGACTTGGTTATTTTGCATTTGATCGCAATTGTACGGATAGCAAGAGTCGCCACCGACTTTTCTTTTATCCAATAAGGAAAGGCTGAAAAGAACAGGAAATACCTTTAGAGATGCTTTCTTAGTTCGGGGGGTAGATTATGAAAAGGGAATGTATTAGCACCCTTTTCATCCGTAGTTATCTACGGACTCTTAGTTGCTTGCTAGATCACTTGCTTTTTGTTTGAATGTGCTTGTGGGTTTTGAAAGTATTTCGAAAATGTCTTCGTAATGGTTTTCGTTTCTATAAGAACACGTACAAAGTGTTAATTTAAAAATAGTTCAAAGACGTGTTTGTGGAATGTCTTTTTGAAAGTGATTTTGAAAAGGTGTCATTGTAATGGCTCTCATTTCTATAAGAACGTGTACAAAGTGTTTGTCTTTTGAAAATGTTTCAAAATGGGAGTGTTGGTGTATAAAATTTTTTTGTTGTGAGCAAGCGAGGAACTAGGAGAAATATACCTACTCAAAAGGTCTTAGGTGTTCTTTTGCTTCTCCTTTAGATGTGGCTGTCTTACCATTGTTTTGGTAAGAAACCCTATCGTTGGATGTGAAGGGACGGGCGTGGGACATTTGTATAGCCATAGAAGGCAACCTATGGGACGTTTTAGCAATGTCGTTTTAGGGATTAGATCGTTTACCGAAGGCAACATTAAGGGTCATCGAGGGACTATGATCTTTTATCGAGGGTCTTTGCTAAAACGCCCATATTCGAGGGACATGACTATTTTCCGATAGGAAACAAAATGGGATTACCCTAAGGGTGCCAGTGTGAATGGTGTGTTTGATTTACATGCATTTAGTCTTGATTAGGGTTATCTATTTGTTGATTTTATGTCTTTCCATACACACCTTAATTACTAGCATTTATGTTTGAAAGCAATAAATTGCGGATATGTAAAGGTCCTACGCTATTACATGATTTAGGGGTGGGGGTACAAATTTACAAATCGGGGGTTTGCAAGAATTTAAATCCTAATTAACTATTACAACCATATTAAAATGCACAATGCAAGGAAGAAAAAGGACTTGTTTCGAAAATAGTTTTTGTCTTAATGAATTAAGAAAAAGAAATAAATTAATTAATAAAGAGAAAATATTTTTATGTCTTTTTTATATTAATAAAAAGGGTATTAATATTGAAAAAAAAAGGGAAATAATGAGAGATAGAATTAGCATGCTGCTGAAAGCAAAATAAAGGGGATCAAAAGTTCTGATGTCGGGCGCGTTGTGGTTCAGAAAGAAATGTCAGAGGAAATCAGAAGTTCTGGATTGATACACTATAAGGTCCTACAAGAAAAGTTAGAGGGAAAACACAGAAGTTTTGCGTTGCTACGTGTTGAACTTCTGAGTGTTAGAAAAGTGAGAAATTCTTAGAAGTTTTGTGTATTATAACAGTGAGGAGAACTCAGAAGTTCATGGTTGTGCTAAAGCAGTGAGTGAAATTTAGAAGTTCAGTGTGTTTAAATAGTGAAAAATCATAGAAGTTCTGTATGTTAAAATAGTAAGGAGAACTTAGAAGTTCTACGTGTTAAAACAGTGAGGAGAACTCAGAAGTTCTGTGTGGCATTTCAAATCCTTCCTTACATTAATCATCACATCAACAACTTATTCAGTTCTTAACAAACAGCAAATCAGAAAGATAAAAAGCACAACAGTTTATAGAAGTTCTAATCCTAATTTTGAGTCTAGCTTTATTCAAGAAGTTTTGATCCACAGTTTCTTCTACTTATGCAATGATATGGCCAACATAAATACTATGACATTTACACATTAATGATGTTCTAAATGAAAATATGCAAAGTCAGAAAGACTTACCTTGAATCTGAAGCATGTATTGGGGACTTGAGCTAGTGCCTTAAGGTGTTCTAGAGTCAGCAAGAGCAACAACAAAGAAAATGCTATGTTCTTTGATTCAAAGGGAAGGACAAAGGTTTTGATTTTTTTTGGGAATTCTGAGTTTACGAATGCTTTACTATTTTCTTTTCTCTCTTTGATGATTCTCTCTTTCCAAAAGCCAGCCCCTTTAAAGTGTGATGGAGAAACTTATTTATAGGTGAGTTTGTTGTGGTTTTGGGGGGAAAACAAATGGGATTTAAACCTTTCGGGTATACTGTTCCATTGCTTTTTAATCATAGTTTTTGTATACTAATTTGGTGAAAATATAGGGTTTGAGAAAAATGCAGGCGTGGACTAGACAAGCAGCAATTTGGAGTGTTGTGGCATCTGGTTGCAGGACTGTGCTATAGCAGTGCAACAGGCTGCTCAAACAAGGTTTTGGGGCTTTGTGATGTTCTGATCGAAGAAGACCAGAGTGAAACTTGAAGGGTGATGTTCTGATCGGAGCGTAAAACATAGTCTCCATATGCTGAAGAGTCATGTTCTGATCGAAGGACACAGTTTCCTTATGTTCTGATTGAAGAGTCATGTTCTGAACCGTCTTTGCAAATTCTGATTGCACTGGCATGAAATTTGGCCCAGAAGTTCTGAAACTGTCATATTTTCTCAATACTTAGCAAATTTTCCAAGTGTTTAGAAATTTGATTTTTTCAAAGTAATTTCTGACTTTTGATTTTGATGAATTAATTTCATGTCATGATGAAATATAATTGTTGAAACTTAATTTTTGATTCAAAAGTCAAAGTTTGACTTTTCAATGCGCTTTTAACCATTTTGCCCTTGTGAATGACTTTCTTTAGAAAATTATGATTTGAGACTTGAAACTTGCCAGAAGAAAACCTGAAGGTCTAGAATAATCCTTTGAGAAATAAAAGGACAAATTTTGGGGTACAACAATTTATTTTGAAAGAAATTATTATATTAATTTTTGCTAACAATTTTCAACACATTGTTTAGACTAAAAATCCTTTATTTTCTAAATCATATTCCGATACATACACAGTATAACGATTAACCTTTCACTTTGGGCAAACTCTTTTTTTTATCCTCCATAAAACTCCCATTTTTATCATGCCTTTGCATTTTTTTTATTTACACATATTCCATATGGAAATAAACACAATAGAATGAATTTGTTTTCCATGTTTCAAGTCCTCATCAATTATCAAAACTTTTTCTTTTGTTGTTGTCACTATTTTGTTGTGCAGAAAAAGAAGAAATGGAAAATAAATCGCAGATCCGAATGCGACGCATCGAAAGCATTTCCACCGTCTCAACTGAACAATCGCACAAACTACACGATGAATCTGCACACAACCAGTTCTATCCGTCGAGCAATTACCATGGTGATGTTAGCCACGAGTTCATGTCTTTCTCGGATCTTCCACCGTCGACCGTGCCGATCCGTCTACCATCATCAAACAACAACTGTGGATCAACCTTCACATTTCCACCCACAAAGGTATTCTCATGATTTTGATATTATTTGCATTTAATCAAAGAAATTGTTTTTAGGTTTGTTTGGAATTTTGGAAGAAGCAGTGTGAGTGAGAGGAGGAAGATTCTGTTTGTGTTTGAGAATCGCCGCATTTGGTCTTACTTTAAAAAATAGAGAACATAAAGCAATTTGAAGCATTACTGCAGTTCTTTTCTACTGCATTTTGATACAGGAAGAAGTAGCGGTGTGACTTCACTTCACTCTTTTTTATAATTCCATCTAATTATTTGTTCCTTTTTTTTGTTTTATCATTATTTTGGATTTAGTTATTTGTTTTTTTTATTATGGTCTTATGAGCCCATCTCTTTATTTTTCTTATTATTATTGTTTATATTGGGTTATCATGTTTTTGTCCTAAGTGTAGTAATAATATTTAAAACATTATCAAAACATTTTTCAATATGATATCAAAACATTTTTCAATATGATATCAAAAAACAATAGAAATTAAAAAGAAAACAAAAAATAGCACGTTTTATTTAATTTAGGATTTTAGTTAAGTTATTAGCCTAATTCCATTTTATTCAAGTTAATTTTTCATTAGGTTATTCCTTAGGGTAAATTTATCCTTGATTATAAAAAACATAAAAAGAAGTATATATGGATAGCTAAGTTTGTAAATAATTTTTCTTAGGTCTCTCGATCAATTTTTCACAATTTGTATATAAAATCGAACATGTATATAAATCAAACTTTTTTAATTCTATCATTTTTCTTAAATAATTAGGATGTCCATCTTCGAGTAATTAAATCGGTTGACACATCGTTTACCAGTTTATTATTCAAAATCAAACAACGAAAATTCACGCAATTCACCAAATTCACCATCCGCGAGCGACACGTGGCTAATATTTGGTCACGTGATGAGGAGACTATATCAGACTCCCTCGCTCTACATTTTGAAACAGCTAACCAACATCAAAATATTTTTCAACTAACATAACAAAAAATACAAGATTATTTTTGAAAAAGGATTAGGGAGAATTTTTTCCGAAATTAATTGTGAACCATGTCTACGATCACTCAATTTACAACCCATACAAGGTTCAAGTTTAATTTGAAAGAAATTCTATGCAGTCTATTAAAAAACACCAACTAAACCGCGAACTAAGAAATGAGACTCTGATTTCTCCTAAGGGGATACGTAGGCATACGATTAAAGTCTTGGCGAGTCTCACATACTAAAATTCAAACCCTTTTCCCGCTAACTAAAATTCAAACCCTTTTGCCGCTAACTAAATATCAAACCCTTTTCCCACTAACTAAAATTCAAACCTTTTTCCCCTAAATAAAATTCAAACCCTTTTTCCCCACTAATAATTAAGAACCCTATTTTCTAAACATCGCGCTTCTAAACCTAGTATCCTTGTGAACAAGGTAGATGAGGGGTGCCTAACACCTTCCCTTCGTCTAGAACCGAGTCCAAATCTAGAATCTCTAACTTTTAGGGTTATTCCTTTATACTCCCTTCCTTTAGTATAAAAATTAAGGGTGGCGACTCTATTTAAAAACCAGTTGCAACATTGTCCATCATGTTTTACTTCTTCAGAAGTTCTTTAGTATACTTACTCTAATGAATGTAAGTAACTTTTGAATGTTGATCAATCTGAATTCCCAGAAAGAACTTCAGTTCTCCCATCAAACTCATCTTAAACTCATCCTGTATCAACTTAGAAACTTCCTCGCAAAGAGAGATGAAATAACATTGAGTAGAGTCGGAGGAACATGCACCTTGTCTGCATAAATATGACTTTTATAGAACTTCTTGACATATTGACAATAATCAAATTCTACTATCAACTAATAGTAACCAGCTTTAACCATCTTCTTAGTCATACAATGTCCATTGGCATGAGTACCAAATAACCTTCATGATCTTCTTGCATTAACATACATGTTTCGTGTCTATCCACACATTTGAGCAAGACCATGTCGTGATTCCTTTTGTATAACACATCTTCATTGAGAAAGAAGTTGTGCACCAATCTTCTCAAGGTCCTCTTATCTTTACTAGATTCCCCAAGCTCAATACTCTTAACTCTGGAGGAAACACTTGATATCATGATACCATGATTTATCATCTACTTCTTCTGCTGCAAACACATGAGTTGGTCTATCCAGAAGCTTAATTTTAATTTGAGTACCTGTTCACAGTGATTTCTGGTGAACAACCGCTAGTCTTCCAAACTATCAAATAAACTTAATTACTGTTATTCAATCTCTTTGGTAACTTACAGGATCGACTAGATTGATCCTATGGAACATAGTTGTTTGACTAAGTCTAATTGTAAAACTGACATTTGTATTTAGGATTTCGAATTAGAGTTGTTCCAAAGATATCCAATCCGCTTCGATTACTATACTGAATGGTTCGAAGGATAACTTCTATATGGTATTAGGAATATTTATGAGAAAAGTTTAAAGACTTGAAATTGGATAAATGGCAGGATTAAATGAGTGGATGTAAAAGTTACTAAATGTTTGGAGGTTTCGACCATAAGAAAAGTATTTAAATGCAGAAAGGAATAAATGACTTCGAGTACAAAGGTTTTAATGTAAAGGTATAAACATAAAATTGCTTGAAACACAAATGAAACGGAAGTGAAAGATAAAATTGGAAAATGTAAAGAGTTTTCATTGAATTGTAAATGCTGGTGTTATCATACGTACATCTTTCGAGCATTACTTTCCCTATCCATGCGGTATTTTGAATGTTTATTGAATTTGTACAACAGATATACACACCAAATCCTAACAATAAGACTTCTATTTATACTATTCGACCATAACGGTCTTGCTATCAGAATCTGCCACGTTCGAAGCATGCAGAGCATTGCTTCCCTCTAGCCTCCATGCGTCTTCGAACACTCTTACGCTTGTGTATTTGAATTTCCAATATCCCGCTTACGTTTGAATTTAAAATGTTTTGGAACTTTTTCGTTTCGAGTTTGTTCATAGGTTATTTCCAAAAATGACCTTCACAAATATCCTCTTATGATTATTTCGAACAAGGCTTTGGACTCACACTCCACAACTTATCATTCGAAACCTTGAACCCTAATATTTCTATTTGAAACAAGCATTCTCTTCCATTCCGAATCATCAAATCCGCTTTATTCAAACAAAACTCAACCATATTTCGAATTACAGTATCAAAATCTTCAGCCAACAAAATGCCCCTTTAAAATATGTATTTCGAACCCTTTGAGAAGTACTTATTTTAAATAGATTCACAAGATTTTGATAACCCTTTTTGAATGAATCATGACACTTACTGCACATGATTTTACCCACGTCAATCAAGACGCCTTTTTGAGTACTCAACCGTTTTGGACCAGTTACCACAGCATGGTGCAGTTTAAAAATAATGATTATTATTAATCACACTTATTATCAACACTGGATCTTACGCCACCTCCCTCTGAATCCAATCAACAACTTCCACGTACTCCTAGTCCTTTTAGTGGGTGCTTACACTCACTCTACAAAACCTATCAGTTTAGTCTTTTCTTCTTTTTCTCCAAAATTTCTGAAATCTTCCTCCTCTTTGCTAAACCCAAAAACTTCCAGCAATCTTAACAATGTCTTCAACCACATGATCACAACTGAAGATATTATCAAAGAAGAAGAACAAGAAAACCAACACGGAAACCATCATGGAGAGCAAAGTGAGTATTTATCAGAATCAATTTGTACTCAATCCTCAAATGATCTCCAAGGAGAAAGAAATGTTGTACGCCTCTCAAGTCTTAATCCCTACCACTGTTACTGGAAAAAGGTTTGCCCTAATGGGTCCTTTAACAGTTTTTGAAATTCTGAAAGATACTAGGAAATTTTTTCCTGTTTGCTATAAATTCAAACCCTTATTCAACAAAATGGATGCCCCTAGGGCAGGGACTGAAGACCTAAGCGAATCATCTGATTCGAAAACAACTGAAACTCCGGCCTTACCTCCAAAAGACCCTTTCATCTTAGATTATATCAAAAGTAATTTTAAACCATTTTGATCCTGCTCCACTTCAGACATAGCATACCAAAACTGGTTCACCAAGGTGGAATCCAAAAAGTCTCAACAATGGGAAAAATTAGGGATTTATAACTTAATCAAACTGTCAAAACCAGGCTTTACCTACAGTCACCCATTGCTATTCGCTTCATTGTACTTCTGGAACAGTACTTACAACACTGTCCATATTCCAGGTGGAATGATAACACCTACATTCTTTGATATAGCTGCCATCACTGGTCTCTCACCAGTGGGGGAAATTTACATTCCTGACAACGAAGAACATTCCAGCATTATTGACTTTGATGTCAAACTGGCTAGCTTCTCAAAATTTATCAGCCATTATCACACTGAGGGGGATGAGGTCTCAGATGTAGAACATATCGCTTTCCTCACCCTGTGGCTATCACGATATGTGTTTTGTAGTAGATCCTTGCAAGTAGCAAGTAGGTTCATTCCCCTAGTCAGGGATTCCCATGAAAATAGGAAAGTCTGTCTGAGTGAACGGTTACTTGTCGATCTTTATGAGAGCTTAAGGTCAGCAGTTTCTAGTTTAAAATCCCACACTCCAAAAAACATTCTTCTGGCTGGACCCTTTTGGTTGCTCCAATTATGGCTTAATGCCATGTTCGAATCTTCTTTGTCAACCGCTGATACCATCATTGAACAAGATCCAGAAACAGCTGACAGGAGCATCGAAGGCACGAGACTTCGAAAGCTCACCCCGAATGATGACAAGGATGATTTCAAAATTCAATTTTCTAAATACATCATGATCTTCTCCAAAAGACATAAGTTTGAAGAATCCGTGGCACCTTTTGCTCAAAGGAATTGTGGACCTTCATGGTTCACAACGCCTCTCTCAGAAGCTGCCAAGAGCAAAGAGATGCAAAATATCTGGAAAGCCTTTCTTCTTCCTAGGTTAATCTCCTCAAGAATCACCCCAAACAAGAATCAAATTTTCCTCTTAGCTTATCAACCCAATTTTGTTTCTAGACAATTTGGCCTGTGCCAATTAATCCCTGAACCTTTGTTCCAAACACAAAG